CGATAAAACCAACCCACTTGTTGCTATCATTCAATTATAACTTAAACTATCAACTATTGGTTTTATTTAGTACAAAAAAAAATAAAATTATAGAAAATAAAGCAGAAAAATCTGTAACTAGTAAATCAGAGATGGGCGCGGGACTAAATATTAAATTTTGATCCCGTCTAATCTGACAATAAATTTTTAGGCCCGTACATATATCATCACTAAGTAAAACTCACCTGGTTTTCAAGTTAATTTTTAAGTAATAATATACTTATACATATGTATGTATGCCAAACTGAATGATCCAGCTTCTTCTTCTGGTTTTTCTGATTTACTTGGCTGTTCGTTTTCGTTTAAACATAACATAAAAAATATTAATTTCATACAACGCTTTTAAGGAATATTTGGAAGTTTCTGAGTTTATCTGGAGTGTCGGGGGAGGATTTTTGCCCCGTCCCGCCCGCAAATTTTTAAAATCCTTCCCGAAACCGCCCATCCCGACAATTTTAAAATAGTCTCGTGGTTTCCGCGGGTTCCGGTATTCCGCGCCCATCTCTAGTGACATTCTGCGAACGCTTTTTTTTAATTTTGTTTCCGCAAAAGAGGGTTCTATATTATAAATACTCATATATGAATTAAACTTGTACTCGTACTTGTCAATTTCTATAGCGGATACAAATAAACTCTATACAGTTGCAACAAAAAATATCTGTGTTTGCATTGAGTTAGAAAATAGTAGTACCAGCTTTGGCATTTTGAATTCGTTATTAATTTTTAGTTTGAGATCAATTCTTTTTATACACTTTTTCTGTGAATAGTATTCATTATTTTATAGTAAAATTTGCGGCTTCAAAATTTCGATGGAATTTAAACTGTTATTGATAACCTTAAACTTTGGAGGTTGTGGTAAATTTTAGAGCATAGCTTTAGCAATTCAATCTCCTAGTATTTTCCAACAACGTTTTTCATTATTATTTTCTTTTTTTGTTCAAAGGTATGGGAGCTATTTTTCATGGAAAAATGAACAGCTCCAAGGCCTGGTTGATTAATTTACAAACACCCTGACATTTTCAACTTATTAATAAAAATCCATTTTCGCATAACTTAACCTAACCCCAAAATAACCGCACACTTAGACAATAAGCATATGTCTTTGTGTTATCACTACGAACGGTAACTGCTAAGTTACATACATATAGCAAAAAGCGCTGCGTGACGAGAACGAAATTTCGCTAGCGGTAGATGTCGGTACAGGAGAGCTTCTCCGGGTTGGTTTAAAATAGGGATGAGTCGGATATCCGGAATCCGGCTGTTTTTCTGTTATCCGACTATCTGGTCGCTTCCTTTTTCCCCCGCGTTTGGCTAGACACATCACTACAAAAACCGGAATCAGCATCAGAGCCGTTATCGATTTCTTCAAATTATTGCCTTAATTACATTCGTTTTGGTTAGTTCAGCTCGAAAAAGCAAATAATCTTGTCATAAGTACGTATGCCGTTAAACAAAAAACAAATTTGGGTTGTTCACAAGTTGTCGTATTGTCGTATGTAGTAAAGTTTTTAACGGCTAAATAACTGTTCAGAGGACTTGGAACCACAACCAACTATATTTTAACGGTGTGAAGTTTCATAATAAGGCTTTTATGGCAGCTTGCGAATCCCTTAAGTATAATTTTAGTTGTTTCAAATTTATGGCATACAACAATATGACAGTATACAGCACTTTGGAGATCCCTAAATACATATAACAATATTGTGAAATTTATGAAGGGTAGCAGTCTACCGGATATCAGATCGGATATCCGAATCCGGCTCTTATTTTCTACATGGTATTGCGGAATCCGGTTATCCGGTAGGTGTTCTGATATTCGAACCACTTTTTGCCAAGTTTTAACGTGTTATTTTTGTTGTTATTGAACTTTCATTTTTTTATAAAAATATAGTTCATTCTTTAACAAATCCAAGTTTCTAAATTTGTGCAATATTAAAAAAAAATCAACAAACGTTCGTACAAATTTCTAACTTTTTAAAAATTCTAAAAAATCTATCGAAATTTTTAGCCATTTGAAACTCGTACTTTATTCTACTAGAAGTGAGCAGTCCACTTGCAAACAGCGTTATGCGATTTTATAATAGTAAGCCATAAATTAAAAAAAACGTCTACAACAACAAGTAAAATCCAAATTGTATCTTTTTTTATTATCTGAAAATTTGAGTAAATAAGAGTCTAATAACATTATAACACAAAATCGCAGTATGGTAGTTTTTGTAAATTTTATATTAAAAATTAATAAAGCGAGTTTTGAAACAGTAACTTTTACATAGCTAGCTTGTTTTTGCCTTTCGCGTTCTCTCTTCCACGAAGATTTGTCTACTTCTTTTTTACGACGTTTTCCAGTAGGCACCAAAACTACCACGTTTTCTTGCAGGTTTCTAAGTTCATTAGAAGATGGAGACTTTTGAACTTGTATAAATACGTACATTAAATATTATAGCGACTTTTGAAAGTGTATATATTAGAGTGGTTCATAAAAACACTATTTTTTTTTTAAATCCATAAACGCTACATCAGAATATTGTTATTTGTGTTAAAAAAGAGGAGACACGTATTTTTTTCTTTTGAAAAAAAAAAGTTTTCTTAGAGGTCGCGCTGGTCGGTTTTTTTATAAATATGCTGATGTTCTCAATTTTTTTATTTTCTTGACATGTTAAAATGCAGCTAAAAATGTGGTTTTTACATATAATTACTCTGGTATTATTGGGGAACTTTCCCTTAATTAAACACCTGTCTTGAACAATCAGAATGGGTCTAGTTCCCGAAAATATGCTCTTGAAAAGACACTAGTAAAATTAAAACGTTGACTCTGAACGATTTACGCATTGTCATGGGTTGGAACTTGTTACCAGGGGGTTTCTATGGTTGCTAATTAGGAATCTGAAATCAGTTTTTCGAAATTCAAAATGGCGGATCCAAAATGGATCTAAATCCATTATGAAACCCTAAATTGCTTGTAAAAATATTAATTGCGCAACGTTATACGAAAATAGGTTATTATGAAAAAGTTAAGACTTTTGGGGTGTTGGAAAATTTTTAACCATAGTTTCGTAAATTTAGTAAATTTAATGGGCATAAAACGAAACCTCCATAGTCTGAGGCAAATATTATTTCATTGTGTTTACTAATTATTGTTTCGTAAGTACCTTGAATCATATTTCATATAAATTCTGTACCCAGGTTGAAATCTTGCTTTTAAACGACATTTTTTGACCACCCACTTTCTTTCGTTAATCATATTGCAACTGTTTGTTTTTTTGTTAGTTTTGTAAATTTTCTTTGTCATTTTAGAAACAGTTTTTTTTTTAGTAGCATGTATGTATGTAGGTAAGTATGTATGTATATTATATACGTTTATTGCTATCTGTTTTTAAATTTACTTTACGCTATTTTAATCGTTTTGCTTTTTGTTTTTTCATTTGTGTTTTACAAAATGTGGTTCCATCCATCTGGTTGTTACCAGAAATCACAAAAAAATTGTTTTTCGCTACATATGTTATGTACTACATATAAATGTTTTTTTTTTTTTGTTTTTCCTTATTATTTAAAGTCTTTCTAAGAGCCATGATCTTTCGATCACATTATAAATGTATGTCACAATATTTGTTTTACTTGCTTATTAAGTTATATGTTTTATGTTTTTTTGTTTTTTTGTTTTTTTTTTGCAAATGTGTAATAAGACTGTGTTTTTTTTTCAAATGGCAATAAAATAATTATTAAATAATAAATATGTATATAATAGAATGTTCATGCTTGCAATATCGAATGGCAAATATTTTTGGAGTGTTGTTTGGTTATTTTGTTGTTGTTGTTGTTGTTAAATCACGCCTTACATGGAAATATTCTATAAAAAAAAGTATGCGTACTCGAAATGTATGTAAATGGAATTATTATTGCATTTAATGCTTAACTTCTTTTGTGGAAGGACTTTTAGTGGAGTGATAAAGAATTCGAATATATATATTTAATTTTGAGTTATTTTTGTTTTCTTTTAGTTTTAGTTTCGCTTGAGTACGCTTAACGTTAACGGTTTACTACCCTAATAGGTACGATTTTTACTCAATTGAATCAATTAATTTCGCTAACTTAAACACTAAGTTTTAAGCTATTTAAATATGTATAGTATGCATGCATGTCTGTATGTATGTATGTTACGTTACGTTATACTTATGCTAATATACATGTATGTATGTATATATTTTTAATGATTTGTGGCGTTTAATACGTTACTATTTAGTAAACCTTAGTATTTTGTAGTTGCGAAAAGTTGAAACTCAAGTCGACATCCTCAAAGTTCGTTAATACAATTGTTTACTTTTATTTTAATATACACTTATGTTAAAAATCGTATGGATTTTATTAGTTTTTATGCGCACTTACACACTAAATATTTTTACTAATTCCTGTTAAATTCTAATGAACACAATCAAGTGAAGTTTCACTTAAACTCTGTCGAGATTGGTATTTTACATACATAACTACATATGTTACACATACATACTAGACAGATTTATTTGCCGCCTTTGTTTGTTCTTATTATTATATTTTATTTTTTGCTTTTGATTTTCTTTGAATTAATTTTCGCTCAAAATTGAGTTTTCATATTTTCGGTGTTTTAGTCGCTTTGGTTGTCAGTCTTCTTAAAAAAGTTTAACCAAAGTTCCACACAAGCATATTCACGTTATTACAAACAATTAATACAATTATTTTAAATAAAAAAAGAATATAGTTTTCACACATTTACTTTGGAGTCCGTCACTACATGTTTAATTTACGTGTGTATGTAGTCGTCCTAATAGTTGTAGTGATTTTAAAATTTGTGCGCTCGAATTTTTTAAAACATAAGCGCCTTAATTCAGTCTCAATTGTAAAAAAAAAACAAAGCACAAAGCACGTATGTAGATATTTCTAAAAATAAATATTAAACATGCAATTATTACATAAAAAAAAACAAGCAATAATATGTCTAAAATTATTAATGTTTAAAAAAATATTAAGTTGAACTAAACATCTAAAAAAAAACTAAACTATTAGTTTAACTAGTTAGCGTACGACATTTTCACGCGTGCCGTAAAGCAGACTTTGTCCTTTTTTACGGTATTTGTTTTGAAAAAAATTCCTTAGAAGAACTCCTCGACATGCCGTATCAGTCTAGTACAGTTCATATTTTTGTTTTGGTAATTACACATATTACTTGTAAATACATGCATAATTTAAGTATGTAATTGAATGTAGTAAGCAGGTATATGTACGAATGAATGAATGAATAAATGGGAATTGAGTGCGATTTTTGTGGGTTAAGGTCGAATTTTTGTGGATGAATAGCGCGTGTCAGTGAAGGTAAGTGAAAATTATGTTAAACATACTTCTAATACTATTTTGTTTTTGTTTTTACTGCATACATACCAGGTATGTATGTTATATGTCTGTATGTATGAATATACGTACATGTTTATGGCAATGTGATCGTAACTTTCAGTCAAACAGTTTCAACAGTTTTGCGTGCGTTTTCACTGCTGTCCAAAAAAAAAATAGAAAATATTCGAAATACGAAATACGCGTTACATACTCTTAACTAGTTAATTAGAAAACGTGTACAAATCTTTTATAAGGATTGGAGCCTTCTTTGGAATCTGGCGATAATTCGATTAGGAACACAATTCGACCATCGGGCATTAGTGCAACATCGCAGGTGCGATCTTTTTCGTCAAGACTGGGCGGCATTAAAGGGTTTATCGATGGACGTATTTCAATCTGAAAGGAAATTAAAGTATTATTAGAAAGCAAAAAAAGGAAGAAGTGATAGCTTGTGGATGGAGATTCTATTAACCTTAGAATGGTAAACATCGCCTATGAGGCTACCTTTATAAAAAACGAATGTTTTACCTTTACAAAAAAAAATTTATTCCAACAAAAGCAAAAATGTTTTTACTATGTTATTTGTAACAAAAATACTATTATTTTTTTATTATCTGAAATATGTATGTTACAGTCATATTAAAAGATCACATTTTTTTCAGAGATCGTTTGAAAAAATTAAAAAAATATATATTTCCATTCGATATATTTGTGTAAAATTTCTTTAGCTTATAGATTTTAGATCAAATTATCCTATTACAAAAGAATATCAAGCTTATGGCTTAAAAACATTTTGCTATTAAAAAATTACCTATACAAAAAAAAACTTTATTGGTAAACATTGCCTCATAGGCATTTAACGGGTATTGTGTTTCATTCATAAATACCATAGACTAAAAAACATGGCGAAATAAAAAAAAAAATGTGTACAAATTTTGTTATTCTATGTTTATAAAAGAAAATCTGCGGTCTTATTGAATCACCCTATATTTAAAGGGCATCTTAAACTACCCGAATGGCTAGTTGATCCTGGAAATATTGTTTGGGAACCATTGAAATATTGATTTAAAGGAAAAATGGCATATCTCGAGATAAGTTATTTTAATAAAATGCCACAGATTTATATATGTAATTTCTAACTTTCAATGCTTATACTTACGCTCCATAGATATTCCAGGCTAGGACTGTAAACAATGATGCGTTGATTCTTAGAATCTGCAACAATAATGCGTCCATCGTCGTCGCAGCAAATACCAGAAGGGCGGTTAAATTCTTGGAATCCTGAACCTTCGTGTCCTTTGGCCGACAAGATCTGCAAATGCAAACGAGTTTTATAAAGTAATTCTGACACATACATACAAATACGAGTGTACATACATACATATGCATATATGATATAAAAATGTGTTTATGCGTAGTAAAGATTACCACCTACCTCATTGACATCCGGATCGATTAAATACAAGCAGTGATTGTCGAAGTCCGAAACTATAATATTGCCAGTTGGTGTATAACAAACACCGCGTGGCGAAGCAATTCCTTTATTTGGTCCATGCGTGTCGAATACGATTTGACGTATAAAGCGGCCCTCCGAATCGAATTGCTGTATGCGATGATTGCGTGAGTCGGTAACAACAATTTGACGACGTGAATTAACAGCCACATCCCATGGATATTGGAATTGCCCATACTCTTTGCCATAGCTACCGAATTTCAATAAATATATGCCAGTCGAAGTGAATATTTGCACGCGATGGTTGTCCTTATCAACGACGATGATGCGATTGTCTATATCTACACAAATGCCAGCCGGCAAATCGAACTCTCCATTGCCAACACCCTTGCGGCCGAATTTGAACTTCAATGTGCCATCTGGATTGAAAACTTGTACGCGATTATTACGTCTATCGGAGATCAATACATGACCCATTTTGTCAACGCACAAGCCCCACGGACGGCTAACTTGCCCATCTTCGTGACCCTCTGTGGCAAACGACAACGAGGGTGTATTGGAATTGCGCGCCTTCACATGTTCAGTGCAACCGGGTATGGCCTGCGTGCTGCGCGGTGCACCGAAATGCAAATTCGGTGAGCTACGCAAAACGCTCAATTCCCATTCCAGGCCTGTGCTTTGAATGCCACAAGCGCTACTGCCACGTACGGGCAACAATGGTGAAGGAATGCTACGGAAACTGTTCTCGCGTATGAATGGACGGCGTATGTTAGTAGGCATCGCTGCAGCGGCAACAGGCAAACTGGCGCTAGGCATGGGCATAACTGCTCCCGCGCCAAGATCGTTAACTGAACCGCTGAGTATGGCGCCACCGCCCACCACTGGTATATTATGCTCATCGACAAGCACAACTGCGCCCTGATTTCGTATCTCCTGCAAGATGTTGTAGTCTGGTGTAAGGAATGCAAATACCTCCTGTTTCGGCTGCAAATCCTTGTATATGGCAGCAAATTGCTCAAGTTGACGTTGTCCATTTGAAACCTTCATTGCTATGTCAATCTGATCCATGCGTGTAGTATTTTCCGAAATCTTGTGCAACATATCGGAGGTTTCGGCGAGCCCTGAGAGAGCCGATTTCAAGCCGGCCATTTGATCGTTTAGTATAGCTAAACGGCGTTGGCGCAATTTTTCAACGAATTCCAATAAGAAACGTTCGCGATCCTCTATGGCAATTAAGAATTGCCTAAATGCTTTGCGTATATTTTCACTCAATTCGGCACAATTACGTTCGATGAGTCTTATAAATGCCAAAGCTCTATCAATGCTACTCTTAATGCACTTAGTGCCAGTACGGCTACTTTCAAGAGCCGATTTAATCTTATCATTAGCTTCATCTACGAAACTTTGTATCGAAGCGTAGTTATGTTCCTTGTGTTCGTGCAGGGTGCAACATTGGCAAACTAACTTTTTGCAAGAATCACAAACATAGCGCAACATTTCATTGTGTAACTCACAAACGTAATTGGGTGATGGAGCGCTCAAGGTAGTAGCAGAAACGCCGCCGGTGGGCGAAGTGCCAATTGGTGTGGGCAACGAAACAATTGAGTGATTTGAGGAGAGGGGGCTATTGCGGTGATCACGCAAACAGCCATTGCACATAAACTCATTACACTCAATGCAACGAATCGAAGCATTCACGTCACACCAACTGCAGCTGATGCTCGAATTATTGGAGGACTCTGGTGACATTTTTGGACCACGATTCATGTGTGGTGGTCTAGCCATGCCAATACCGCCGAAATCGTTGGTTGTTGGCTCTAACCCTCCGAAAAAGTTATTAAAAAAGAAATCATTTTGAGGTGGCGAGCTAGAAAAAATATAGAGAAAAAAGTATGTATAAGTAAGAGAATGGGGTTCTTTTTTATAGATGCTAAAGATTTTTAAGAAGATTGGAGATGAAATCTTTACAACTTTAACCGGTTTTACGTTGTGAAAGCTCCTGTCGCTTGAGTTGTGCCCTCTTTTCGTCCTCAGTATTGACAATCTTCCTTTAATATTCATTTATTTTTATAGAAATATGGCATATTCTATTACAAAAACCATGCAAGTCAGATTTTCAGACTTTATAAAACATGTATAATTCAACCACATTTCAACAAAAATTTCAAACTAAAAAAAATAATTTTTGTAAAAGAAAATGTGCAAAAAAATTATCTAAAGTTTACGGTAGTTTCTATACCCCTAAAATTTGCGCTTAACTAATGAAATTTAAAAATCTATTTTGTATAAAACTGCTTCGTCACAAAAATCCATTTTTTTTTAATTAGAAATTTTGGTGGGAATTTGTTGAATTATTATAGAGTTTAAATTTAAATGGTTTTTGTTATAGAATATGCTATATTTTTATTAAAAATAAACAAATCTATGTATATTGAATAGACAACAGGAAAACTGTCAATATTGAGGAATTTGTGAATACATGACCGAAGACTGGAATCTTAGTGTATTTACCCTGTCAGCTTGGAAGATACAATAACAGCGGGATAAACTTTCCTAACATAGCATATAAGATCATTCAATTTGGCATAGATAACACTGCGTGACTAAAGCCCTTCACCAAGCAGCTAGTTGGGCGTTTGCCTTCAGCCCCAGTGATCGGACTTGAAGAAAAATTTGTGTGGTAGAATCTGGAAAAAAATGTGGTAGATTTCAAACAAATGTGGTAGATCTCAGGTTTTGGATCAAACTTTGTACAAAAATTAAAAAAATTCTGCAAGGTTTCACATAAATTGCAAACATTTTAATTAGAATCTAAAAAAAAATTAATTTTAGTATAATAAAGTGCAAGATTGAAGTTGCTAAAAATTGCGTTGAGTTTTGGCAATTTTTTTTCTTGAACGTGTAAAGCAGTTCCTCCAATATCAAGACATTTTTCGAACATATTTTGAAAGATTTCTGCAACCTTGCGGAATGCTGCCAGTTTTTCTTTTTATCACATCACGATGTAGCGAACAAATGTAGCACGTTCCAGAAACCGCTACTTGGACAACGCTTTAGAAACTTTAGATGCACTGAAATTTGCTAATACTTTCACAAAAATCGCAGTTTTTTTACATTTTCGCTATTAATTATTTTTATAAATCATATATTTTGCAATTTAACACAATAAAACCACGTTTCCTGTCGAAAAACTGAATATTGAGAAAATTTAATATTTTACAGTTTATTTTATACTCCCTTTCTGCCTGTTGTTAGTGTTTAGTGTTGGACAATTTTTGCTCTTAAAATTAAGAAAATTATGTCGAGCAAAAATAAAACTACTCAAAAATGCGAATATGTGGTAGATTTCAGACCTTGTGTGGTATATGTGGTAGATGCTCAAAAAAGTGGCAGATCTACCACAATGTGGTAAAGTCCGATCACTGTTCAGCCCTGGTATATAAGTTCGCCATTGAGCAGATTTTCCTAGGCGGTGTTTTAGTGATTTGAAAATCGCACTTTATAGCAGAAAGAGAACCTGCCTGTACAATGCCATATCTAAATTAGGGATACCCGAAAAACTAGGGATGGCAGCGATTAATCATTTGATTAAATTAATCGATTACTTTTGTCCAATTTACGTTTCAATTGTATCGTAACTTTGTGTTTCATTAATCGATTAGTAATCGATTAACTGTAAACTAATCGTAATCGTATCTGGTTAACTCGAATCGGAGGTAGAAGCTCCCTTTAAATGCAACAACTGCTTTATCGATCACATGTTATATGTATGATGTCGAAATCGTCGATAATGATGTTTACCTGCGAGGTAGTCATGACTAAACATTGAATAACCGGCCCTTAGTGTGACAGCGTTGATTTATCGGCGAACCAGTTGGTGGAATGCTAGAAGTTGGTTGTAAATAAGACCTATGTAAGCAAGTTGGTCAACCTTGAGGAAATGAAAGCTGTTTACCCAAAACTTTACGGACTTTCGAAAAAATAATGTTATTTAATTGGTACCTCGGTACCTGCTTAGCGCTTTTTTTTCAAAAGATGGTTCTCAATAATTGCAATTAATTTTTTCTTGCTTGCGATTAATCATATGATCAATTAATCGATTATTATTTTTTTTCCTTCACTACATAAAACTAAAACGGCGCAGCATTTCCCTACTTAGAGAAGGCGGCAAAATAGGTTGACTTATCGGTAAATGAGGACAAGACATAGTACCCTCTAACTATTAGCAGATATAACTTTGAAGTAGTGAAGGTATTTGAGCCAATTTACACGACGACTTTTCACCCTGCGTTTTTTGCGCGTTCGCTCACCGTGCGTGCTTGCCTACCCCGCTGACTTCCCTACAAGCTCGACACGCATGGTTTTCCACCCAGGGTGAAAAGTCATCGTGTAAATTGGCTCTTTGTCTACCTAGGATCTAATATTTACACCACCATTAATGTCAGCTTGTCAGTGAAAAATAATTATTGCCAATAGGCGCTAAATAAATATATCTATGTATGTATTTCTTTGATTCGATACATTGATATTTTTCGATACAACGCCACAGTGCCGCCTAAGTGGGCAAAAATCGAAAAATTCGTTATCTGCAATGTGAACTTGTTTGGTATTTTTGTAAAGACAATTTATCCACTAAAAAGATTTAAACAGGCATTTCCCTTAAAAATTAGTTATATACCGCCAGGAAGCCACTAAAGTCGACAAATTTTACACTAAGAATTTTAATAAGAGCATAGCCATGCGTAAGCTCTTCATAGAAAAAAATGTCAAAAATATATTCTTTGAAATAAAATGTTGGTTTGACGTTTCTTGTTTTCATATGGATAGTAGAGAATTACAGTAATTAAAATTTTGGGATAAAATTAAACACAGGGTGCCCTGCGGTATTCCAGAAAACAATTTTTTTTAAACGAAATTTCAAAAAATGGTAAATTTTAATGGAATGAATAAAGTAATGCGTTTTTCCCTAATGCATAAAATTATTTTTTCATTTTTTGGCAGTGCCTTGAGATCTGCACGATTCGTTCCATTTTCAAAAATGAAGCGTCAGATTAAAAGGCTTGACCTGTGGATAATAGAAGGTTTATTTTTTTTAAAGAGTTGCCACCTGTTAAAAAATTAGATTGTTAAAATATTAGATTCAAGTTTTTTTATAAGTTAAATCAATTATTAAGTTATTAAGGGTATCAATCAAAATGTGTATTAACTACATGCAGCGAGTTGCCAGCTGTTTAAAAAATCAAATTTCATCTGAATTAAAGGAATTAGTTAATAGAAATAGATAGGTATGACCATAAGGGAGCCAGACGAAAGAAGTTTAAGGTTTTAGCTTAAAAATATTACAAATAGGGCTGTCACCTGTTTGTAAAGTCGAATTTAGTAAAACTAAATAATAATTACGTCAAACCATAGGATTAGGCCATCGTATTTGTTGTTTTATTACAAATACATACATTGTCAATCAGTGATTTGTTCAGATTACATTCCTTTTAAATTACTGGACTCTTAAATTAACTCAGGAATGTTTGTACTCTTCACTTCTTACTTTCTAAATATGTAAACATTTTTCATTTCTCTGATATTTATATTGTCACACATATTTCAGTTACCTTTTTCCCTTAATTAAAGCGAATTTGGTTTTTTAAATATGTGGCAACCCTTCTACGTGTCGTTTAGAAGTGAAGTATTTTCAAAACTAGTTCAAAATTATTTATTAAATAATTTTAATAACAATGTGTAACAGGTGGCAACCCTTTTCAAAAATGAAAAACTTTATTGCACATCTACAGGCCAATTCCTGTCATTTGACACCTCACTTTTGAAAATAGAACGAACTATATGTATATACCTATGTAAAAGCCACAAGAACCCACATTTTCAACTTCAAACTGCATTTACAGTGAAAGTATGAAACAAATTTCATTTTTGAATTTAGCGTCTTCAATTTTACTAAGAAGAGAATTTTCATTTAAATCCGTCCATAATTCTATTTTTGCCCACATTTTATACGGAAGGGAAGCACTGTGCAACGGAGGTAATACATCAATGCTTCGATATGCATAGTATTTTTCAGATGTTATTTCACAACAAAATGTGTTATTAGCGAAATTGCACAAAATTTCAAATTAGTTATTATTGCATCAGGGCAAAAACTTTTTTTCTAAAACCATAGAAATCAGAACAATTTTAATTTTAAGTCATGAAAAATTCTTCCTTAATTTTCAGGTTTTTTTAGAAAAGCTCTTGATCGCAGGTTTGTTGTACATTTGATTCGATATTATATTTTCTCGATACACATGTATACTATGTATGCAACTTAAAACGCAATTTAATTTTTATAAGGAGAAAGTGTGAGGATTCTAAAAAAGCCTTAAGAATTGCTTCAACAAACCTGCAATTAAGAGTTTTTCTAAAATATTTCTTCAAGTGGAAAATTTTCAATGCATTGAAGCGAAATATCGATTTTTTCTGACACCCTTAGCCCTCTCCCGACGAAAAAAGTTACGCTCTTACATAGGTAATGTGCACCGAAGAAGGTGGAGCGACGTACTGGACAGGCTTTATAATGACATGGGCATAGCAAAAGTAGCACAATTTTTGAAGCAGTCTTTTTCGGTTTTGTCCACGTTAGAGATTTAAAAAGTTTTGAACAGAAGTAGTTTTTAAATAAAAATTTTAAATCAAAATTGTTTGAACGATTGCACAATAGGTCAAATGTTCGCTTTCTCTTTCGTGCGAAAATAAATAAAAGAAAGAGTTTGCCTACGGTTTTACGTTTATTGTAAAACTTCATTAAAAGCCCCAACCTTTCACTTGAAACACTTCTAGAATCCTTTTATGAGGCAAGTGAATACTAAGTAATTAGATTTAATTTGGCGCTTATACTCACTCAGTTGACGATTCCATCGACGGATTGGCACCCCGAGCGCCGCTATTCATGTCCCAAGTAGGAAACGAATCGAAAATGCCAGCTAGCAAACGTTCTGCAGGCGTACCACTGCCATTTGTTTTGGGCGCATTCGGTACTTTATTGCCGGTTGCCATTTGTTGTTGAACGGTTGAGGAATTGCCGGATAGTAGTTCCATCATAAAATCGCACTTAAGGAGGCGAGTAAATTTCCTCTTTCAATCGAATGCACGTCCACCACTCCAACAATTAACTTCGCGCACTAAATAAATAAATATGTCAATTATTTTCTTACACTGTTACACTCTGTTTATTAGTTGTAAACTGTAAGTTTAACTATAAATTTTGTTTTAATTCTGCACGGAATACGGAACTATATTCAGTTTATAATTTTTTTTTTCGATGCGTTTCAGACGCATGCGCGACATTGACTGTTCTGCTTTTTGGTTGCAAGGCGGTTAAAAGGGATTCATGCATATTCAGGTATCGAAATAAGGCAGCAGGTCATAAATCGGTCTATGTTGTCTGTGCACTAGTGTTTGTATGCACATTTGTGCATCATACAGGGAATATACTACCTACATACATACATATCGTCGTTTAAAGTACAAAACCGCGTATCAGCAAAATGCAAAATCGCGTATGTGAGGTTGCATAAATTATTTTCTAGAGAGTAAAAACACTCATATTTCAAAATGGTTCTCTTTTTTATAAAGCAATTGCGTTTCTGGCTAGTATATTTCCGGACAAATGGATAAGGATTGAGCCAATCCAATTTTTGTGAGCAAATCCAATTTTTGGCAGCAAATATCAGTTACGCGGTTTTGCAGAATGCCGATACGCGGTTTTGTCCTTTAAACGACGATATGTAGGTACTAGTTTAGGTAACCTCACAGAAGGCCTTGCAACATGTGTTTTTTTTTTGTTTTTTGATTTTTTTTTCAGTTTTCTCTGCTGCTGTTAATTGCAAAAGGATCAGTTCCGCTCTTTACTGGCATTGATTTAAGCAGAAAGACATCCTTTATCAGCTGCTTAGTCCTGTGAAGTGAAGTAGACAATAACTTCACATAGGCACATGCATATGTATGTATGTATGTATGTATGTATGTAGATATGCATACAAATTTCGACCGCCTAGCTCGAATTACCCGTGGCACCTTGACAGATGTACAAACTTACTTACATGCATATCTGTATAGGGTGCATCTAAATAAATAAAAAAATTGGTTCTGTTTTCCCATGTTAAATATGTATAAAATTTATCATATTTTAAGACTTACGCCAAACATATAAAAAATTCCTCGAAAATTGCATTTCGAAATTTTAATGTAGTTGATTGATTAATCCTTATTAATGCATATGTGTAAACTAAATGGTTCCTTTTGAAAAGACAATCTTAACTAATAGCCAAATATAAATTTAGTTTAGTAGGTAGATTGGAGTACCTACTAAACTTACATTTTTTGACTTATTCTCATGCAAATAGAGGAATATTAACAGGAAATCGACACTTCTCGGCAACCAGTTCGAAAACGTCGTATTTCAGAAAACTTTTCAAGAACGCTTTATCTCCGCACATTTTCAATACATTTTCATTTGATATAGGGCGTTTTTGAAACGAATTCAGAAATTGGGCCTTCTTAAACTAAATTCTGGGATAGGGTGATTTTCAATAAAATTCTGAAATAGGGCATTCTTCAATCAAGTTCTGAAGTAGGGCGTTTTTGAAAAGTTTTCTGATATATGGTGTTTCCGAACTGGCTACCGAGATAGATCGATCTTCCACTCAGGGGTCGAAATACGACTACTATTTTCTAACTAGGAAAATATGTAGGACAGGCGTATAAAAAATTCATAAATATGAAGTAAATACACATCGTCACCCTTAGCCAGAAGCATGAATGTGCAGATTTACAAATTTTGAGTTATTGGGTTGTCTTGATTAACCTTTGGACGTTCTTTGTTATACCAAAAGCCAGAATACCATGCGTACATGGAAAGCACATATTTCACAATGTTAATTACATCAATACAGAGTTAATTCTTGTAAAAAAACTTCAAACTTCATTTCCCAAAAATTTAAATTTTTACACATTCATGTTTCTGGCATGCGGGGTACGATATGTACTTGCCGATTTGTTTTAAGAAACTGTTTAAAAAGCAGACGTCTCGGTTTCTCAGAAAATCGGTTAATCGTTTCTGCAATTATTTCACTTTGATTATCTAAAGCAAATTTACGATGTATGCTTAAGATTCAAAAACTTAAAGGTAAATTTTATAAGAAATTAAATTGACAATTTATTAAAACTAGTAGTAACCCGCGAAGTTCAGGTGAATGCAGTAAACAAATACTTACTAACATTAAGAAATTAAATTTAAGCATAGAATATAACGTGATATTCGTAAATATACTTCAGTATTGAGATGAAAATTTATTTAAAGAACTTCGTGAAAGACAACTACAGAAAAGACGGAAGCGGTCTTTATTAGCGATCCTAAAAAGCCAGAGGTAGCCTCCGTCAATGTAAATATGTAAATGGCCATATATTCAAATCTGTACGCCCCGCTTAAAAATCTTGGTGTTTTAATTAGTGAGAGAATCAGCTTTGGGGCGCATGCACAACTCCTGTACAAACTAAAACACAAAAAGTGTCAAGAAAATATTGAGCACTTACACGAATGGTGCCTAAAATTGGTGGACCTCGAAACGGAAAGCGTGTTCTCCTGGTAAGAGTAAAGATTGGTGCCTTAAGAAGATGATGAATCTCATGCAAATGCATGTTTTTATTGGGCATATTCAAACGGAAATTGTTAAGTTTCCTTTACGAATCATGAAATTTCCTTTAAAATGGCATTCAATCGTTAGTGCATATTTTGCAGTAAATGCATAGTTTTGCATGTATTGCAAAAATACCTGTTTCTGCATATTTATTGCGCATATTTTAGTATATTTTACAATAAACGCATATGTTTTGCATATTTCTGCTTTTTTTTTGATTTACAAACATTTAAATTTAGTGCGAAATCTCTTGACAAAAAAAATACCGATAATTTTTTCCAAAATATTCATCTGAATATCTTCTTGGATAGCCAAGCGGCCATTAAGACCCTCCCTTATACCTCTGTTAGATCTCAACTAGTGGAGGACTGTAGAAGAAAGCTAGCATATATCTCTGATCAATACGAAATTACTCTAGTAAGGGTCCCGGGACATAGAGACATTTACGGAAACGAGGCAGCGGACGAACTGGCAAGGTGCGGATCGGCACTGAACGTGTCCCACTAAAAAGTTACCGAAATTTATCACTCCAAGGCCATGAAGGATGTACAGGATTATCCGGCAGTTCTGGCAAAAAAACCGAATCTCTCTTAGGAATGAACAAAGAAGATGCCTGCAAACTTACTGCAGCGGGCACAGGGTACTGTCCCGGTGAGGAACATACAAGCCGAAAGCCTTTTCGGTACCCGATACCGATATATTTCTAGTTTATTTTATATGATATCGGCTAAAAAACTTGAACTTATTGCAACAGTGAAATATTATTATATCAGTTTTAACCTTAGTAGATCCAAGGTTCAAGAAAAATGCTTTGACGGATAAAGAAGCCCATCAGGCCTGCAAATTTAATGTCGTCCAATTCATCTAGAATAAAAATGCTTACTACAAGTAAGAGTTTCTCTGCATTATGGCGACGAACCGACAAATGAATATACATTTTTCTTTTGAAATAGTATTAAAAGCTCTTTTGGTCCCTACATTCGGCCATAGGCAAGTCTCCCCTAAACCGGTTTTTCCCATATTTTTGGCCTATGTGAGCTTTTATTCGAACTCTTAATATTTCGGTGCCGAGTATCGAAGTATTGGATACTTTTTAAATCGGTGTCGAATATCGATAAATGAGTATCGACTCAGTACATTGCTATTATTCAATGATGCAAGTCCATTTAAAACTGGTAAAACAGCCAAATCTAAATTTTTGAACTTTTGTTTTAAAATTGTCACGCCCGTTTCTAGAAGATTATTTGATTGAAAAAGTGGTAGAGCAATCCGCAATAAAATCTTCGTTTTGCTAACTTTGGCCCTACAATTGCCACGCCCATTTCTAGGGGTTTGTCGCCTTAAAGAAAAATCTTGCCGTACAAATATTTTTTCTGGATAGGTATTCTATCGGAACCCGATTTTTAACAGCTTGCTAAATATATGTATCTCATCATAAGTTTTTAAAAAAAGAAATAAAAAAATATGTGACTCACAAAATAACCATCTCGTCAAAAAAAAATATGTTTAGTTCTTGGAAAACGCAGCAGAATCCGAGATATAACAATTTGAAGAAGTACATGTTAGTTAGAATCACGAAAAAATCCAAACTTTGAAATATCATATCTCCGAAGAAAAAGAGAAACAAAAAATTCCTCGAATAAATACGTATTAGCTTATTTCATGAATAGAACCCATAAAAAATGCGAAGCTTTTCGAAAGTGTGACACCAAATTTGGTATCCGATGTGACAAAGAATGTCTCATATAAGAAATATTGCACAAAACAAACAAATGTCAAAATTACGCTTACGTTAAGTGCGTCAAACACATTTTCGAAACTCGGACCAGCCGCTCGTTTTCTCCACATTTTGACCTTAGATGCAAATTTATTTTCCGAATAATTCAGGACACTTTCTTAAAATTCATAAAGATTCTTGCATTTATCGAAGTTGTACTCATTTTTGGCGAACAAAACACCGACGTTTTCAAAAACAGATTTATTATTGAAAAAACGTATTCATCGCTCTCAGTATCGACGTTGCATCTATTTCCTTGGCGTGTTTTCCAAAACACCTCTCGATGAAATACCTGACGGCAGTACCGGTAGATTTGTCCTTAGACGGTAGGTGGTTCCCACACATTAAAAACACAAAATCTTGCTCTCTCATCTCTTACTAAAACCTTATAACTACATAACTCCTCTCTGACTTCACCCTCTGAAAGGTAAACAGTCTTAAATAAACAACGAGATGGATTGTTTTGCCGTTTACTCCTTCAGAGGCCATTGCAAATTTAGGTAAGGATGTTTATGTATTAAAGAGATTGAAAACTGTTAGCTTGCAAATTGCGTCTAGATACTCGTTTTCATATTTTATTTTTTCCCCCACTGCAAAGTTAGGAAATTTACTGCGTACGCATGAGTTTCATATGCCTGCATGTCCCTGTTCAGAATATAGAACACTTATTTAAAATTGCATACAGTGCTGGAACAAATAATAGAAG